GCTTTATCAAAGATGAGTTGGTTGAGAGACTGTGTTGTTACTTCCTGAATCTCTGTCCTGTTTCATTGGTCTATGTATGTGCCTATTCCAATACCAACACCATGCTGTCTTGATTACTATAGACTTACAGTAAAGTTTAAAGTCTACAAGTGTGATACCTCCTTCTTTGTTCCTTTTGCTGAGGATTATTTTTGGCTATTTGTGCTCTTTTTGTTTGTTTGTTTCCATATGAATTTCTGTATTGTCATTTTCAGGTTTGTGAAAAATGATGTTGGTAATTTAATGGGTATTGCATTGAATCTATAGATTGCCTTGGGTAGGATGAACATCTTGACAATATTGACTCTTTCAATCCATGAGCATGGAATGTTTTTCTATTTGTTTGTGTCATCCTTAATTTATTTTGTAGTTCTCGTTGTAAAGGTCTTTCACTTTTCTGGTTAGGTGAATCCCAAGCTATTTCATTTTTGTGTGTGACTACTGTGAATGAGATTGTGTTTTTTACTTGGTTCTCCATCTGCTTGTTGCTGGTGTAGAGAAATGCAGTTGTGTTTGCACTTTGATTTTGTAACCTGAAACTTTACCAAAGTCAATTATCAGTGAGAGGAGGCTTTTGACAGACTCCCTAGTGTTTTCTAGGTATAGAATCATATCATCCACAAAGAGGAATAGCTTAATGTCCTCTTTTCCTATTTGGATATCCCTGATTTTCTTTTCTTGCCTGATTGTTCTGGCTAGGACTTTTAGCACAGTGTTGTATAGGAGGGGTGAGAGTAGATATCCTTTTGTTCCAGTTCTTAGGCAAACTGCTTCCAGCTTCTGCCCATTGAGCAAAATGTTGGCTGTGGGTTTATCATAAAATGAAACTGGATACCTACCTCCACCATGCAAAAAAAAAAAAAAACTCAAAATGAATCAAGGACCTAAATGTTAAACCTCAAATTATAAGAATCCTAGAAGAAAACATAGAAAACACACTTCTGGACATCAGAATAGGCAATCAATTCATGACCAAGACATCAAAAGTGAATACTACTAAAGCTAAGATAGACAAGTGGGACCTTATCAAACTGAGAGAGTTTTGCACAGCAAAAGGAACCTACAAGAGAGTAAAGAGACAACCCACAGAATGGGGGAAAATGTGCAAACTATGCATCTGACAAAAGCCTAACAGTCAGGATCTATAAGGAACTCAAACGAAGTAAAATGATAAAACAGACAACCCCATAAAAAAGTAGGAAAGGATGCGAACAGACACTTCTCAAAAGAAGATATATAAGCAACCAACATACACACACACACAAAAGTGCTCAACCTCACTAATCATTAGAGAAATGTAAATCAAAACTACAATGAGATACCACCTAATTCCAGTAAAGATGGCTATCATTAATAAGTCAAAAAACAACAGGTGCTGGATAGCAGCAGAGAAAAGGGAGCACTTCTACACTGTTGGTGGGAATGTAAGCTACTTCCACCTTTATAGAAAGCAGTGTAGCAATTTCTAAAAGAACTAGACATTGATCTTCCATAAGATTCAGCAATCCCTGTCCTGTGAATATACCCAGAGGAACATAAATCACTCTATCAAAAATACACCTGCACATGCATGTATATTGCCACACTATTCACCATAGTGAAAACATGGAACTAACCCTGTTGTTCAACAGAAGTGGACTGGATAGAGAAAATGTGGTACATATAATGATGGAGTATTATGCAGCCACAAAGAAGAACAAAATCATGGACTTCGCGGCAAGTTGGAGACCACCATGCTAAGTGATCTATCACAGAAACAAAGAACTGAATACTACATGTTCTCACTCATAAGTAGGCCCTGAACACTAGTCATGATAACACAAAGGTGGGATCAGAAGTCATTGGGCATTGCTAGGGGAAGGAGGAAGAGAAGAGGGTGGGGGGGTATGTGACAACATAATAGATACCTGGTCCACCACCAGGGGGTGTGAGGGCCAGCTGGAAGCCCAAACTTCACCTACATGCAGCCTACTTATGTAGTAAAACCTCACTTGTACCCCACAACTCTATAATAAGTAAAGAAATTATGAAAAGATACATAAAAATAAAAGGAACAACAGAGAGAAAAAATAGCAACTGTGTGGTTTTTAAACTAACTTTCGGATTAAAAGTAAAGTATGTAAAAAACTAGCTATCTTATGTTAAAGACTTCTAGGAACACTGTTACCTGACCAAGGACAAAGAAGATTCCCAATTTTCGCAGACCTTTACTGGTACCCAAATATCTGGAGTCATTGGTGTCATCTTGTTTACAACCTCCTCCTCTTCCCCTGCTCTTAACCTAAACAGAGCCTGAAGTTTATACTGACTTAAGATAGGTATTTAGGACATAAGTCTGCCATCTTTGTGGTTTGCTGTCTGTCCAAAATAAAGTGTCCTTCTTTGTCCCCAACACCTTACTGGCTATCACACAGTGATGAGAAGGTGTTTGGACACGATTACAATACCATACACAAAATTGCTGGAAATACTACACAGATTCAGTAGAGTTGCAGGATGCAAAATCAAGATACAAATAGCAGTTGCATTTCCATATGGTGACAATGAACAGTGTAGAAGGTAAAATACGTGCAAATTGAAAACTAAAAAACATTGTTGAAAGAAATTAAAGGAGATACAAATAAATGTAAAGATACCCCATGTTCAATTCATGAACATGGGAATTAATATTAATAATGTTAAAATTATAATTAGCATTGTTAAAATATTCATACTACCCAAAGTGATATAAAGATTCAATGCAATCGCTATCAAATTTTCAATGATATTTTTTAGAAAAATAGCAAAAACTATACTAAAATTAATATGGAGCCACAAAAGACCCTGAACAACCAAATCAGTCTTGAGAAAGAAAACAAAGTTGGAGGCGTAACACTTCCTTATTTAAAAATATATTGCAAAGCTACGGTAATCAAAACAGTATGGTATTAGTATAAAACCAAACACAGAAAAATGGAACAGAATAGAAAGTCCCAAAACAAATCCTCTTATACATACTCAAGTGATCTTTGATGGGAGTGCCAAGACTACACAATGGACAAATAATCTCTTCAAAAATGGTGCTGGGAAAGCTGGATATCTGCATGCAAAAGAAAAGATTGAACCCTTACCTTATACCATACACAAAAATTAGCTCAAAATGGATTAAAGATCTAACTGAATATAAGGCCTGAAACCATAAAGCTCCTAGAGGAAAGTATAGGGAGAAAGCCTAATAACAATGAATTTCACAACTATTTATTTGGACATCACACCAAAAACACAAAGAGACAGCAAAGAAAAATAGACAAATGTCACTATATAGAACTTAAAATCTTGCAGCCAGGTATGACGGCTCATGCCTGTAATCCCAGCACTTTGGGAGGCTGAGGCAGAAGGATTGCTTGAGCCCAGGAGTTCTAGACCAGCCTAGGTAACATCATAACAAGAACTCATTTCTACAAAAAGAAATTTTTTTTAATGAGACAGGCATAGTTGTGTGCACCTATAGTCCCTGTTTCTCGGGAGACTGAGGAGGGAGAATTAATTGTGCAAGGCGTTTGAGGCTGCAGTGAGCCATGATGGTTCCAGTCTGGAAGACATAGTGAGATCCAGACTCTACTAAAGGAAACAACTAACAGAGTGAAAACGCAACCTACAGAATGAGAGAAAATACTTACAATCCATGTGTTAAAAAGGGGTTAATATGCAGAATATATTTTCTAAAACTCCTTCAACTCAACAGCAACAAAAACAATCTGATATTAGAATGGCAGAGGACTTTCTCCAAAGACGATACACAAGCAGCCATCAAGCATATGAAAAGATGTTCAACATCACTAATTATCAGAGAAATGTACATCAAAACCACAATAAGATATCACCTCACACCCATTAGGATAGTTGCTATTAAAAAAGAAAGAAAGAAAAAGAAAAAAACAAGTGTTGGTGAGTATGTGGAGAAATTAAAACTCTGTACACCAATGGTAGGAATGTAAAATGACACAATCTATGGAAAACAATATTAAATTTCCTCAAAAAATTAAAATAGAATTACCATATGATCCAGGAATCCCATTTCTGAGTATATATTTTCAAAATAATTAAAAACAGGATCTTTTTTGTTTTTTTTTTTTTGAGTTGGAGTCTCACTCTGTCACCCAGAATGGAGTGCAATGGCCACTCCCAGCCACTACAGCCTCAACCTGCTGGGCTCTGGTGATCCTTCCGCCTCAGCCTTCCAAGTAGCTGGAACTACAGGCGCGCGCTACCACGCCTGGCTAATTTTTGATTTATTGTAGAGATGAGGTCTCGCTGCCCAGGTGGGTCTCAAACCTGCGGGCTCAGGCAATCCACTCACCTCAGCCTCCCAAAGTGCGGGATTACAGGCTGAGCCACCAAGCCCGGCTACAGGATCATTCTTAATGAGGTATTTGCACATTCATTTTTATTGCAATATTATTCACAATAGTGAAGAGGTGGAAGCAATTTAAATGTTCAGCAGAAAATGAATGAATAAAGAAAATGTGGTATAGACACACAATGGGATATTATTCAGTCTTAAAAAAAAGATATCCTGTTATGGGCCATAGCATGCATGAAACTTGAGGATATTATGCTAAGTGAAATAAACTAGTCACAAATACACAAAATAAACCAGTCACATACACAAATACTGCATGATTCCAGTTTTATGTAATCAGACTCTAAAGTAATCAGACTCTCAGATATACAATGATGGTTGTCATTTTTGCAAGATGAAAAGCTTCTAATATCTGTTGCAAAACAATTTGTATACAGTCAACACTACTGCACTGTACACTTTAAAATGTATATTTTAGATGTATTTATATGTGCATATCAGTTACGTTTGCATATAGCTTTCTAAAAATATGGTTATTACAGATGAAATATATGTTTGTTTATAAGCTGTAATATCTATTTAGTAAATGTTATATAATATAAACCAAAAAATGGTTTACCTTTTCTCAGACGTATAAGTCTCAGGGGCCTTAACCAGTGGTGCTCCCATCACATAACCTAAAGCATATCCAAGCACTGACAAAGCATCTGCAATACCTAGAAAACAAATACTAAATATCCAGCAACCTCACAAGCCATTTTTGTTATAAGGTAATAAAAAATTAATCGACTGAACTAACTCATTTCTAAAGGTTTTTTATAACATTCTGTGTTACAATTTTCCAGAGAAACAGAACCAATAGGAAGGCTAGATAGCTAGCTGGATAGATAGAACAGAGACATTGGTTTTAAGGAATTGGTTTATACAATTCTGGATCCTAACAACTCTCAAATTTGTAGGGCAGACCAGGCTAGAAATTCAAGTAAGAGTTGATGCTGTAGTCTTGAGGCAGAATTGTTTCTTCTTAGGAAAACCACAGTCTCTGCTTTTAGCACCTTCAACAGGTTAGATGAGGCCCACCCACATTATGGAGGTAATCAGCTGTATTCAAAGTCTACTGATTATAAATGTTCATCACATCTTTAAAAATATCATCACAGAAACAACTAGACTGATATTTGACTGATATTTGACATAAAATTAACCATCACATGTATTAGAGAAACATGGATGATTTAATTATATATCATTATACCTAATTTAAGCGATATATTTAATTTAAAATACATAAACATGTTTATATTTCACATAGCCATAAATTCAATATTCTTGACTTCATTTTAATTTTTGACAGTATAGCAAGATGATACTTTAACGTTATCATCACCTTTGCCTCCTTTATCTTAGCTACCAGAGTGGCAGAAGGCAGTGATATGCCTTCACAATAAGTACATAAAAACATCTTTACATTTATTTACAAAAATGATAGATAACCCTATACAAATAGATGTTCTACCAGGACAAGAACCGATTACAAAACAAAAAAAGTACAGATTTTCCTGAGATATAGTCAGAATTACTTATTGTAGGATATAGTAGACATTGTAAATAGGGAATACTATGCTGTGTTCAACAAATTACATATAAATATATAAAATATACATATTTATAAATGTAAATATACATATATATGGAAAAAGTACAGTTTTTATTAACTAAGAAAGAATGTATTCTTTCTATTGCTCTATAGTGACCATCAGATGACTGGTCTGCTAGAAATCCAAATCTCAAGCAGCTCCTCAGAATTAGGTGGTTCAATGTGGTTTTGAAATTAAGCAGGCTCATTATCATTTATTACAATGTTATTATAAGGGAGAATAATGTGTAATTCTATATCAGTTTAGAAATGCACATCAAAATATATAGGAAAATTCAAAATGGGTCAGTCATTAGAAGGAGAAAAAAGACTTGCCTAAGTAGGTACCAGCGGAGTGTGTGGTAACGCTCTCATCGAGAAAGGTTGTTCCAAGGATATAAAGAGGCATTCCTGCTATTCCCTGCACAGTCTGTCCAAGGATGACGAAAGATAGGTATTTTGATATGAATGGTGATTTGCTTTTTGGACAATCACTGATAGGCTTCGTCGCTAGACAAATATCTTTTGAAAAGATGATAATTACATTTGTGTTAATTGAATTCAAAAGTTAAACACACAACAGATATGCAGTATTATCAAATATTTAACATTTTACAAGCTATTTCCACCATTATGCTTTTATCTTTTAGTTAACATTTCATTTGCATTGACTATAGTAGTACAACAACAGTCATTATGATAAATGCCATAATAAAAGTAAGTTAGGGCCAGGCACAGTGGTGTGTTCCTGTAAACCAAGCTACATGGGAAGCTGAGGAGGAAAGATTGCAACTAGATTGGGCAACATGGATGTACACATTACAAACCAAAATATAAATGTGAATGCATGATTGCATGCATACACACAATTATGTGTTCAGAGAAATATTTTTGTATATATAGATTTAAAAATACACATAACGCATATTCCTCTTTAATTTGGCATCCAGTTCCCCTGATTTTTGACCCCAGGATCAAAGTATTTCTTTTTCTAGATGTTCTAGTTTATCTGAATTACCTTCTGAATTTAGTTCTATGTCCACTTCTTTAGCAATCTTCTTATTAATTTGTCTTACTCTGAATAATTTCCCATTTTAGACTAACTTCTAGAATATAGGTTCATAAAGACAAGGTTTTAAACAATAAACACTTCTTTCTGTAAGAGTTAGTCATTATATGATCATTTACTATATCTTAAATTCCTCAGGTCACAGTATATTTCTTAGGCTTTTTTTATTCTATAACTACATGTTGCATTTGTTACTCGATAAGTTGATCAGGCAATGGTATTAGATCTTATATATTGTCTTCATTTTAGCTGACATTTAATAAGCTCTTAAAATATTATTGTGGAAACACTATTAAAGCACATATTGCAAGACAGTACAAAAATAGACATTTTCAGTTGATTTAGTATACATATGAAATGATATTAAACTTCATATCAAATGGGAGGGCATCTCTAGAATTGTGATTCAGATGTTGATGCTTCCATTTTGTACAGACATATTAACTTGTGGTAATAACACTATCAATGTGATGTTTCCTCCAGTGCTCTGACTTCTTAGTTCATTGAACTTTTCTTTTGTAATGGACTGTACTCCGCCTACCTTAGTTACTCATTTTAAATGTCAAAAATAATAGCAATAAGCCTTCCCTAATTATAATTTCAAGCATCTACATCCTAACCACCCCTGTCTTTCCAGCTCATTTCTTCTAGGAACTCAATTCCAACAATCCTTAAAATTCATCAGGACCTATAATCCATTGTTCCTGCTCTTTTTCACTATCCCAATGTCTCCTTCCTGTCCTTGCTTCTCTAGTTATCATCAAAACACTTTTAATTCCCTTGTGCTTTTTCAGATCATGCAATCCCGTGGTAAAATTGCAAGCCTAGGCAAAATAACTTCTTTCTTCACGCTATACCTATACTTTTAAAGCTGAACGTGACTGGCGAAAAACACAGTCATGCAAATTCCACTTTAATAATTAATAAACTCAATGACATTCTTCATGCTCAGCATAAAATATATCTTTGATCTATTACTCTCCTCTTCCCCTAGAAAATTCAACTTGTTTGTTTCCCTCTTCTTAGGGATCCCTGTACTGAGCTTCCTATTGGCTTACATTGGAAAAACAAACCTCTTTTCATCAATAGGATAAAAGTAGCCTATTACTACCCTTCTTCATCCTAAAAACATCTCTTTTTTAGGTAATAAGTTATATGGCCATCCTAAGTAACAACCAAGAGAAGATATAATTTCAAGAAGGAGGGAGTGATTGGTATTACAAAATGTTGGCAATAACTCTGGAAATATAATACACAATTTTTTGTTGTATTAGGCAGTATGAATTATGTTGGTGATCTGGTGAAAATAATTCTGCTGCAGGTTTAAGATGGAAGGCACATTAAAGTGTGCTGAAAAAAGACAATAAAATCAGGAAGTAAGAACAATTCTTTCAAAAATTTGCCTATGAAAATGAGTAGGCTGTGCAAAGTGATTTTAACTCTAATTGTTTTAATTTAAAGATGTGGGGTACAATTCAGGATTAGGTATACAAGTGGTTATTGTACAGGTAAAGTTTGGGCCTTCCTTTGGCAAAGTAATTTTTTAAAAAGGGAACTGTGAGTTTATAATTGCTGCCATTGTTTAAGAATGGGAAGAATTTGAACACATGTAAATGCCAATGAGCAGGAACCAATAGAAAGGGAGTACGTATAGAAAGGGAGGAAGAAAATCATCAATGGAACTAAGTGCCCAAGGAAACATGAGAGCATAGAAGGTTTACTAGGGGACATATTTATTTTAATAGGAAAAAAGAAGTAAAGAATGTCAACATACAAATATAGGTGGAATTATAAATTCAATGTCAAGAAGTTAAGGCAATTTTACTTTATGACATGTATTCTCCTTCCAACACAAAGATAACAATTAAGTAAGAAAAACCTAAAATCTTTGTTATAAATTATGGAAGAGAGCATGAACTAAAAACAAAATTGCCTTCAAGTGAATAGATTCATTTGAGAGCACAATTGATAACTGAGACTGACAGCAACAAATTCATTGTAAGACTAATCAGCAGCACAGGTTTAGGTCAAGGAAAGATGTATGGTTGGGTCTAAAGTTTTACAGGCCAAGGACAAGAAAGGCCAATGGGATGAAAGATCTTAGGATAATTATTAGTGTGTACTTGAAAAACTAATACTTCATATTGAGGTTCATAAAGTAAGCTATAAATAAAGTGAGCCAGGAGAATCTGATGAAGGGAGAAAATAGGTGTCATTATGTTGGAGGTTCCAATGAAAGGAAAGTACTTTGCCTTTGTTGCATGTGTAATTTGGAAGAATTGGTGGGTAAAATCAGAGAGCTGGATAGTAGATATTTAGGAAGTTATCAGTAAAGTGACGGTATACTGAAACTGTGGGTTTGTGTGGGTGATCAATTCAATGTACAGCTCCAAAAATTAAAGATCAGAATGTGATACAAATTTTTCATGAATTAGGGGAGAAAACTCAGTTTTAACTTCTCAAGGATGTGATAGAATATGATATCTATATGCCAACTGAGGCTTAGTGATTGGAGATTAACTTGTCATCAGTATGGAAAACTGTGATGGGTTTGGGGAGCAGAGAAAGAGCATAGGAGGTGGTTGTACTCAGACTGTACCAGAGAGGTTCAGACAACTCATAAGGGAGAATGAGCACGGCAGCTAACTGGATGGTACAGAAAGATGACAGAGTAAGAGAGATTCAGAGAAAAAGAAAAGGATGGAGGGAAAATGACAAAATAAGAGAATGTAGAAGCTTAATATACATACAGGTATATACACATAACCTATGGTATGAACATAGAGTAGAAAAGTAGTTATGTAAGAATTAAACTTTCAAACACAATAAGTAAAAATCTGCATACATAAGTGTTGAAATAAGCACTTGTACTGCAAAGAGTATTACTTCTCCAGTCCCAAGCAGAGTCACCTCACAGACACACCAAATAGGTATTGTTAGATGAACTGTATGCTCCTGAACACAAACAAAAACAAAATATGCAGAATATAAGTGATATAAAGAAGTCACAAAGGAAAGAAAGAGTGTACTATTTATATGTTCATGATTCCTACTGAATCCTGATCAGCATTTTTAGTATATATTCAGCAGTGTTTCCTAACTTTTCACCTTTACTTAACAAGGTTAAGGGAAACAGCAATGAAATGTGTTCTGTTTCTTTCTTCCCATAAATCATCTTGTAGTTCAATTAGTTGTCAATAATTCTATAAATATAATAAACATATTACAAATATATGTGCATAGCTCATAGTTCATAGATACATACACATTTTATTTACTATGTGAATTACATAGTATACAAATGTTAATTACGTGACTATATCGCATTTTTGTATTTAATATAAAACATTTTATACTTAATACATAGTAAACACATATAGTAAAGATCAGAATGTGATGTAATACAGAGAGACAGTCTCCTGTCTTTTTTCATCACTCTTGCTAAAGCCCAGTTTAAAGTTGTCAAAATGAGTAAATGTATTCCGACACATATAAAAGTCTGACAAGAAAGTACTTGACACAATAATGTCAAAAATACTGTTATAAAAACTTCAAATAGACTTTGTCTAGAAAAAAGACTGTTAAATAAATTGGAAAAAAATAAACAAAGTGAAGAAGCCACTAATCTTTTGTAGATTCAAATATGATGTAAAAGGGTCTCACCTTTCTTTTTGTGTGTGTGTAGGTTTATGTTTATATTTATGCTCCTGTGTGTGTGTGTGTGTGTGTGTGTGTGTGTGTATGCATGTATGTGTACTGAGGTGAGAATAAAATAATTAATTAAAACATACAGTGGAAGACATAAGAAATTACTAAAGTTCTCAAGTGATTCATAACATAAGTGAAAATTAATACAAGAAAAACAAATTTTGCAAAATAATTATCCCCAAATGTTCTTTCTTTTCCTTCTCAATTCCATCTCTTATATGAAAGGGTATATGTTCACTAAGGAGTTACATTAGTTACTAAACTTGGTCAAGTGGTTGGATAGATACACAGACAGAGAGGTATCTCAGCCTATTTTAAGTTCTTCAAGCCAATAGCTCAAGTGAACATTGATTTGATGTATGTATGACAGTATATTTTAAAGTCTTACCTTCAATTTCTACCTTCAATTTATAATTTCTATCATTAACAGATGGAAAAGCACACAAAAGTGATCCAAATCCTATTAAAAAGGAAGAAAATGCAATCCATTTTATTTTTTTTCTCTCTCCATAGAATGCTACAAATATTGCTACCAGGCCAGATGAAATATCATAACTGGAAATCAATACGAAATTGTAAATTCTTTTCAGAGTGTACTCCTTCTGAAAATCATCAATGCTCACATGTGTAAGACCAAACACAAGACCTAAAATGTAAAAAGAAAAGAAAGCAATAGTACACATTTTAAGAATCAAAATAGGTCACCATTGTAATTATTACAAAGCAGAATTTAATTTACCCTGATTTAAATATATTTTACACTATTTTGAACGTTTAAAACCTATAAGCATGTAACGATTCCTTTTCTAAAATACTAATAAGCCTTAACTTCTACAAAATATTGACTAATTTAATTTTTGAAGATTTTTTAACTACCCCATGAGTAATTTACTGAAAAATACAGATTGTTGTATCATCTTGCTTAGTATTGATTTTTATTTTAATGCATTATATTTCAATCCTAAATAATTAATAAGTAATCTAATTAATGTTTATCTACCATCTAGAATAGAAAATAAAACATCAAAATTGTTGAAGTCCAGCACATACTTCCCAAACTAATTTTTCTCTCTACCCTCCATAACCAGTATCCTGCATTTGAAGTTTACCATATCTGACTGTTTTTAACATTTTTTGACAAAGTATACATACTTAAACAATATTGTTTTTCAAGTTCTTGAATGTTAAATAAATGGTACAATACTATGTGTATTTCTATCACTCAGCATCCAACTTGGCAAAAAAATAATCATACTAAGTGTTTGAAACAAAAATTAATTGATATAGGGATTCGTTACAAAAGTAATACGTTTTTGGAGTGAAAATGTTTCTTCAAAACTCATGATATCTAAAGTTGCTGGAGCATGGACATCTGCTACTACTGCCACAGCAGCTGTTAGAACTGCAATCACTACCTCTTTTTGCAGGAAGTCAGGAGACTACACTCTTCCTAATGCCATGACAGACAGCTCACCTGTTGCTTCTGCTGCTCTTGCAGTTGCCAGAGCCAGAGCCCATGAGCACTGTGTCGCTGATGGAAGCACATTTACTCCGGAACACAAATCCAGGAGCCTTCAGCATTGCTCCCGCTGCCAAAAACACCACCAGAAACAGAAAGGAAAAGATAGCGGCTTCCCTTTGCCTTCTTTCAAATCTGTAGCAATAGCCTCTCACCAGCAATACCTAAAGGGAAGTCAGCTGGCAAGGAACTCTGGGAAACATAGTTTGCAGACTGCCCATTCTCTTGCAAATAGGAGTGAGCAGTGGCATTGATGGCCAACAGACAAATAACTTGTAGAGTTTGCCTTTTTGGCTATTCAGTATATATTTTCACCCTTCTTTGCATATTTAAACTTCCTTATTTAAGAAATAGCAACATCACTATATTTCTGCCCAACATGTTGCAATTACTGTTCTTATCTTTCCCCAAAAAGAGACACATAGTCCAATCAATTTCCATATTCACCTCAGGGCAATGTTAATTCTTCTAGATTAGTCACAAACCTGAATGGAATTTCCCTTAACCTAAAAACTATCTTGCAAAGATGACCATCAATAATTAAGCAAACATTGCCTAACTAAACTTAGGAGGGAATTATATTGCCAAAGAAACCACAAGCAGTCTGTGGTTTAAAAGACCAATGTTCAAGACCCGCCTGGGCAACTCGGTGAGACCTCATCTCTGCAATAAATCAAAAAATTAGCCAGGCATGGTAGCACGCGCCTGTAGTTCCAGCTGCTTGGAAGGCTGAGGCGGAAGGATCACCAGAGCCCAGCAGGTCGAGGCTGCGGTGACCGGGAGCGGTCACTGCACTCTAGTCTGGGCGAAAAAGTGAGACTCCAACTCAAAAAAAAAGACCAATATCAGTAGGAGATAAAATATAAAAACTTTGCAGGACCCAGGAGAATAATTTCCTCCCCCTCCCTCTCCTTTCCCCTCTTCTCCCCTCCCCTCCCCTTCCCTCCTTCCTTCCTTTCTTTCTTTCCTTCTTAAGTCGGGGTCTCACTCTGTCACCCAAGCTGGAAAGGCCTCAACCTTTTGATCTCATGCAATCCTTCCCCCTCAACCTCCCTAGTAGCTGGGACTACAGGAGTGCACCACTACTACTGGCTAAGTTTTTGATTTTTTTTGTAGAGACAAGGGCTCACTATGTTGTCCAGGCTGGTCTCAAACTCCTGGACTCAAGCAATCCTCCTGTCTTGGCCTTCCAAAGTGCTGGAATTACACACATGAGCCAACTTTTACTTTAGATGTGGCCAAGGAAGATGATGGCCAACGTGGTAACTAAATTCTGTCAATAACTGAGTCCATCACTAGGATGGAGCTATTAATTCCCCTTCTAATTAAGGCATATTCTATAACCCAGAAATAAATTTTTAAGGTTATCTGCCATATAAAATGAATGAACAGAAAAATAGGAAAGAAAAGAGGAAGAAAAAGTAATTGGCATATATACATATATACACAAATGTATATCTGATATGTACATAGATACACATAGAACAAGAAGTCAGAGAAAATGCATAGCTGCTACATTTTTTATTTCTGTAGTTGATATTTATAACTACCTTCTTCTACTATTTACACTCACTTCTATCTCTTCATCCCAGATAACACATATAGGTTGCTGTCTCATCCACTGGGAGAACACCCCAAACTTGTTGATCATTGTTTACTAGCAGGAGTCTTATCTGAGTCTCAAATAAGACATAATAGAAGTCCAAGGGTTTCTGCCCATTGAGGTAAGGCTAGTGAATTCCATGAATGCAAACCTCCTCCTGTACTTCATTTACTATAAAATGAGTTCCTTAATTAGAAGGAATGTGATGGTGAACATGATTATGGTGTCACACAAGGCATTCATTAAGTCCAATTAATTATGGTTGTGCTGGCAGAGAACCATGGTGACAAAAGAGGAACTCATATCCAAAATAAATATCTATTTCAATAAGGAGAAATTATTTCCTGCCCCATTAGAGAAGCACAACTATGTAATCAACCTGCCGCCAGGTAGGTTTTAGTAAGGTTGGTTGATTTAAAGAACTGAGTCATTTCCTAAATCATTACCATAGCCAGATGGGCAATGGTGATGGTCAGGCCAAGAATTCACCTCTTGTATAACTGCCATCCTTGCTGCAATTGTCACTATAAAAAGAGTTCACTGAACAGAGATAGAACGGCTAGCAAAAGAGGCTGGCTAATCTTCACAGGACATGTATCTATCTACCTCATTATTGAGATCCTTCTGTGAAATGGTGAACATCAAGACAGAATAACTCTGCTAATTGGGAGAGACACACCACTCACCCAGTCTTCTAAATCACCAAATAGTCAAACCATTAGACAATGTTAAGCATGATAACCACGCAACATGGACAATCAGATGAACTGCTCAATGTTCTGACCACTGGGGGGATTTCCTTTTTTTCTGTTTTTCAGGGCCTCCCTCTAGTGGGGATATAAAGCTATCATAGCATACTTCCTCCTTCAAAAAACCACAGTTGAATTTTCCTTTATTTTGGAATAGAAAGCCTGCATATTCTAAACCATTTGGTCTCTAGAAACATAACTGACAGGAAAAATGAATTTTGGGTATAGTTTATATGTATACCCAAAATTCGTTTTGTACATACATATTTGGTATATATTTATATATGATATTTTCTCTTGGGACAGTTTATGTTAGCCATTCTGGGAAAACTGGATCTGATTCTAGTTATGAGTCTAGCAGCACTAATGGGTAGTTGGGTCCTTTAACTTAGATGAGGTCAATTCAGTGTCTGCAAGCAAGGGATTGTCTTCAGATATAGAAGGAATAGTTAGCTGTTCCTATTGGCAAAGAAGGTATAGAACTTGGAGGTTCATGATCCTCAGATTCACTGAATTCCACCCAAATACCTTTATTCAAAATTTCAGGGTTCCACTCTTCTGTGATTAATAGCCCCAACTCTCACACAAGTGAGTTGGTAAGTCTGTGAGTTCAACTTATATTGTAAATGTGCAACCTGTGAATAAGAGTTAGTAATGCCCAAAATAAAAAGTATGTAGCTAAAAATGATAAAAGATTCTCATGAAACCACCAGAGAAGTTCACACATTTTCTAGCCATGTCCTAAACTTCTCATTTTCTTTCTGTAACTTTCCAGTGCAGTCAAAAGCAGTCAGGCAACCCCAGAATCTCTGCAGTCAAAAGTTTCACCACAGGAGTCAATTGTAGCAGCTATTTGGTCTCCCAAAGTTTTGTCTGCAACAAGAACTTTATCCTTGGCAATGTTTTAATAACCCTTTTGTCACTACATACCATGAACTTCTAATGAATCATTTTCCATAGTCACAAATATCACTGTTTTCATTGCTTTCCAGCTCAGTTAGGTCAGATAACCGATTCTAGATTTCTATTTTTGAGCATTTGTTGTTTAGTTTTGTTTTATTTTTCCTGGTTCAATGCCTGGTACAGAATACGGTATCAAAAATCATAAGATGTTTGTAATTCACAAATTACTTTTATTACATTGATGAAGCTTAACAGATTTATCCAGAAACTTCAATTTTTTATGTTATATAGATATCTGAACTTTTAAAAAAAGATAATTATTCTATTCTCTTATTTTTAAAATGATACTCATATACACTAACCAGTTTCTTAGCCATATTTATCCCTAATAAAATGTGATTTATATTTTTCTGAAAAATATATTTTAATATTTTCTTATTTCTAATAGTTTTAATAAAATTAGCTGAATTCCTTAAAGTTGCTTTTATAGTTTTGCAGTAAAGGGTTAACTCAGCAGGCCTGAATCATCTTAAAAGACCTATCTTTCAAATACACATTTATAAAGTTATACCTTCAGTAGGATATTCTCTTTTCCAAATGAATAAAAAATTAAAGGGAGCACAAACTCTGTGTCAAGGTTTAGTATCTGTTCATGATGTGTCCTCTGAGTGATGATTATATATAGAAATTTCTCAGAACAGTTAAAACCACAAAGCAATAGTGTCTTCCATGTCTTTGGCTTCCCATTTGTCACTAAAATTCTAAGTATTTTTTTCTATTTCTCAGATGTCTATGTATGTGTATACTCATTCTATTTCTCAGATGTCTATGTATGTGTATACTCATCATGTGTAAGAAAAATTTTTAATGCTTAAAGATTTGTTAGTGCTTAATGAAAGCTCAATTTCATATTATTCATATTGCTTTTGTCTTAATTTTTTATTAGTTACAAGCTTGATTTTAAATATTATACATGGCATTTATACTACTAGGAGACCTTCTAACATTTCAGTACTATTTTTTAAAAAATTAGATGATTTTGTACATTCTGCCTATGTGGTCATTTTGGGACAGGCATGAAATATATTGATATCTTCATTTTTTTTTTTTGTATTGTGTGTTTCCTCCAATTTTTGTTGTTTAAAAGTGCTTCCCTAACATCTTAATAGTATAAGGTAATCTAGTACAAATATAGCAATATTTTCATTATCTGCAAAAAAGCAACCCATTTTTTTAAATGTATATTTTTCCTAAAACCTAATGGTGCTTTTGTTTTAATGAGTTTCCTGTTATATACACTTTTTATATATGTCAATAAACTTTTTACTAAAAAAAAATAAATTGGGGAAGAGGGAAAGGCCTGTGTTTAGAGCTGGACCTTGGCTAGGAGATAGGCTGTAAACTCTTCGAATATTCTACCCTGTAAGAGTGCTTTTATATGGTTGAGGCCTGAGGCCACATTGTACTGTTTGTTTGATCACATAGTTTATGCTAACAATGTGATTTATGTTGAACACCTTTCTTATTGTGAATGTGGGTGTGGAGTCTAAGTAGCTGGAGTTAGTTACACAGGTGCTGCAAGTCTGTATGTCTGACCCCAAAACAGCCTTTAATTCCAAGGCTCAGATAAGCATCCTTGGTTAACAACACTTTGCATGTGTTGTGACACATTGTTGCTAGGAGAATTAAGCATGTCATGTGACTCCACTGAAAGAGGACACATGGAACACTAGACCTGGTTTTTTCCAGACTTTGTCCCATGTCCCTTTCCCTTTGAATTTAATTTGTATCTTTTCGCTATAATAAACAATAATCATGAGCTTTTTCTGAGTCATGTGAAGTCCTTCTAGGGAATCATTGAACCTGACTGTGGTCTTAGGGACTCCCAAGTTTATAAATTTGAAATTGCTATAGCCTCCAGTGGCATATGATTGTAGATCACTATATTTTAATTAATCAAAAAGAAGTGAAAAAAAAAAAAGAATTGCAAGACTTGAACACTGGAAACAGCAAGAAATCAAAGAAGACCCACATCAGTAAAATGACATTGCATATTATGATCAGACGTTTTAATATTGCCCAAATGGCAATAATCTTCAAATTGACATACAGATTCTGCATAATCTATATAAAATCCAAGCTGCCAAAATTTGATGAATCGATGCTAAAATTGATTCTAAACACAAGGGACCTTGAATAGCCCCAAAAATCTTGAAAAAAGAAGAGAGTTGGAAGATTCACAGTTCCTTTTTAAATTTATAACCTATTATAAACTACAATAATCAAGACTGTGTAGTACTAGCATAAGGATATATAGGTTAATAGAGTGCAATATATTCCTACATATAGAGTTAACTGGAGTGGAGTTTCTATTCTAGATAATGAAAATGTTTTGAAATTAGTAATAATGGTCGCACAACTTTGTGGATATACTAGAAGTATATTGAACTGAACACTTCAAATGAAAAATTTTATGGTATGTGAATTATGTATCTCTTTTTTTTTAAAGAAAAGCTGTATATAGAGACCTCACAATGACAAAAACAAAAGAACTCTGGCTTTGCAGAATCCATGTTCAATTACTTAATAGAAGAAGTCAAAATTTTGAGGATATAGTCACATTGATAGCTTATGACTTACAAAGCAAAATCAGTAAAGGGCAAAGTCTAGAGGAAACCAGATATAAGCCAAGAATCCTCTCCCAGTAGAGTCACACAGTACACTTATTTCTTTACCATCAAATTGTGACAACCTTACAGGTAGGCCTTTCTAAGGACAGCAGTCTCAGGCCTTCCATATTAACTCCTTTCTGCACACTGGTATTTTAGAAAAATCAATAAAAATTTCTTAAGTTAAACTGATAAAGAAAAAAGAACAGAAGATATATATGTATAACTAACAGCAAGAAAAGTGGATATCACAATAGCTCCTGCAGACATTAAAAGGATAATAGAAAACATTATGAACTACTTGCCAACAAATTTGACAACTTAGATGAGATGAACAAATCCTTGAAAGATGTAATTACTAAAATGATTCAAGAAAGAACTTTTAAAATTTGAATTGCTGAATATCTACTCATTTAATTGAGTCAGTAATTTTTAAGTATGCCAGAAAGAATGATTTACTGACAAACTATTCCAAATGTTTAAGAAAAAAGTAACACCAATATATATCAGTCTGGGTTAAATTAGGAGACAGAAAACAAAATATTCTATAGAAACTTAATATAAAGAATTTTTAACTCTAGCAGGGGATTGACTAATAAGATACTATCTAGTAAAATGCAGAGACTTATAAAGAATATAAGAATAACATGTATTTAAATTATATCTAAATAAAGCAGAAGGAGGGAGGAAAGGAGAGATACAAGGAGTGAGGGAGAGAAAGTGGAAGAGAAGGAAAGAAGGAAGGAGCATGGCCTAATGTGGTCATAAGGAAACATCGAAGAGACCCAGGTTGAATTCAACCCACAAGATGAAAGACTTTTTAAGACTTTAAAGGACATTAAAAAAAAAAGAATAAGGAAGTTTAGATTAAAGAAGACTTCTGAAATATGACAACTTGATGCAATATATGTTCCTGCATAGAATTTGGGGCCAAAAAAGAAAAAGGAGACAATATTGAGAAAGTTGTTGACATCTGCATGGGGCCACCAATTCATATTTCTGACTGGGAGGAGTATATGATGCTTATCATGTAGGAGAATGTCTCCCTTTGAGAGGATGCACACTGGAATAGATAGCAGTAATGGGGTGCCATATCTGAAGAAGTCTATATGTCTAAGGAAAGTGAGGATGAAGGAACAAACATGATAAAATATTAATATTAACAAATGGAGAGCCTGGGTGATAGAGATGCAAAAATCGTGTTGCCTCTGCATCCCTTCTTTATGTCTGAAATGATTTTAAAATTATTTAATACATAAATAATAAAGATTAATTGATAAATAGATAAATGCAGATATAGACCATTTTTAGGAATGGAAGACTCTATATTATGCCCAAACTGAGCTAACAACCTGTATGAAGTCAGTTAAGCAATTGACCTAACCTATTCACTGCCAACCACTGGTTCAAAAACCTACAATGGCTTCTCATTACCAACTTCATAAGTGGATTACATTAGTGAGATAATACTTGTAAAGCATCTTACTCACAGCCCAGCAAAGTAGGAAGTATCTTTTAGTATCTTCAAAATTCTCAGGTATTTATAGGCCTTCATAATCTAGGCTTAATTTGTCTTTTCTTTCTTTTTAAAATTCATGTATGTGTCTTCTCTGCCTCAGTCACTATATTAATCCTTGGGAGACACAATGAATAATATAATTACCTCTTTATGGTGCTTATAAAAAACCATTATCCAGTCAAACTTGCCATTTACTTCCTGAAACAAGTCTTTCTAAAACAAAGCACCGATTCATTCATTCATCTCCTTATTTAATAAATACTCCTTAACTACATCCCTGGCTATTAGAATTGTACCTAATTATTACGGCACAGTTCAAATGCCTATTCCTTCAAGAAATTTCCTTGATACTTTCAAAACATATTGAGGACTACATTTGATTTTCTCATGTGGTTCTTATCACATACAGCCTTTTTAATTGCACTTATTTAAACGTAACATTTCAGAACAAAAAGAGATACAGGTTGGTAGATTCCAATGCCATCAATGTAAAGAGACTGGTAAAGATCCTAGACACAATGAGGGCAGTGACAACTGTGACCCATGTCAGGTCTAAAGCTGTTCAAATTCACATTCTTCTTCAGAGTATGGGGGCAAAAATAAACACCCTCGAGTTTAAGTTCTCTGATACCCCACCCCTACAGCTCATAAAGGAGGAAACAAGATTCAGTAGAAAGTGTCTTAGTCAGAATGTCTCAAAATTGTGGGCAGAAGCAGAAACAAACTAATGATTGCAGACACTGTTTTCAATCTCCAAGTTGATGGACACCATGGCCCTCGCCTGTAATCTCAGCACTTTGGGAGGCATAGGCGAGAGAATTAATGAGCCCACGGGTGCAAGACCAGTCTGGACAACATGGCAAGACCTCATTTCCACAATAAATCAGAAAAATTAGCTGGTCATGGTGGTGCACGCCTAGAGTTCCAGCTACTTGGAAGAGTGAAGCAGAAGGCTCACCTGAGCCGAGGCTGCAGTGGCTGTGAGCGTGCCACCGCACTCCAGCCTGGGCAACAGAGTAAGACTCCGACTCAGAAAAACAAAAACCCTCCAAGCGATTCAACTCAGAACATCTCAGAGTTAGAGACCAAATGACTCAGCAAAACCCTCCCCCCATCCGGCTGTCCGGAGGCCAGACCCCTGTCACCCACGATTGTGCAGGACAGTGGCAATCAGGTGGAGAAGGGGGTGAGGCAATGGCAGGATCCAGAACCCAAAGCGCTGGTCTGGGCGGTTAACCTGCTTCGGTTCCGATCGGGCCTTGAGAAGGTCCCAGAATACAGCCTCACGCCAGGCACCTCCACTTCAACAACCTGGGGTGTGTTGGCGGGGGGGAGGGGGGGGAGAGGTGGCTGCCACCTGGACCAAACCACGTCCCTGAGGCTGACCTTGAGACACGTGCAGGATGCAGTAGAAAACCATGAAGCAGTGAATGTTATTAAAACGCTGACAGTAGGGGATGGCTACGCAGCCCCAACCACAGCGCCCCTCCAAACTGCCATTCCCTTCTGGCGTCTTCTCGGGAGCGGTGCGCTTCACTGTTCTCTTTTTCCGAACACTTTGGAACTTTATCAGGGTCGCTGGGAGCAGATAGGGAGGGTTTCTCCTTTTCTCCCAGGCCTCCCAGGCCTCCTTAGCCTTTATGCCCCTAACTGGTTGGGCCTGCGCGGCCTCGAGCTCCACTTCCTCTGAGGAGGTTTCCTCTTGCTCCCCCTGGCGCCCTGCTGCTGATCCGGACATGGCTAGCCCAGGCCCTTGGCTTCCTGGCCCGCCTGAGTCCACTCGAAAGCCGGCGGGGCGTGGGTGTCGGAGGGCTGGGGGACCACAGGGGCGCCTGCAGCCCAAGCTTCCAGAGCGACCGTTTCTGCTGGGGCAGGAGGCAAACGTCCCTGCAGGGGGTTGACGGTTGCCCTGGGAGAACGTCCAAGGCTGTTTTTGTCTTTGCTTCCACATGGGGAAGGGGGGCAAAAAAGCTAGAACTAGATTTTGATAACTCCCAACATGGACAAGGAGCACCAGAGGAATGTCGATGGAGGTCAAAAAATGCTAGTGTTTAGGTAATACTTAACCAGGAAACAAGGAAAGAGACATGTGCAAACAGTGGGACTGTTCCTCACTTTCCCCAGATTTACTTTATTGGGGTGTCTTTCCAACTGGACAGTCTCACTAGAAACAACCTCAAAATTGTTGAAGGATCAGGAGACGTCAGAAGACATGGAAAAAAACACTTTCACTACGGTGGAAGATTGGGAAGAACATCAGAGATCAGAAAACAGTATCTCGATGAATGCCCTTAAGTGAAATGTTTTACATATAGAAATTATTGTCCTGGAAACTCTATTCGCTCCCAAGAACAGAAAAGATTATCACTCTCCATCCTAAATGAGTGCATGAGATTCCGCAGACTATTTGTTTTTCCAAGTATAAGAATCTTACTGGAGAGAAAGAATATAAGAATAGAGTAAGATAGGAAACCTGCGTTTTATAAAAAAAAAAAATGCCTCTTATTATTGATTTCCTTTTCTTAGGCTGAACCATAAGTCATCTAGGCTACACATGTGGGGAGAGTGACTTTCCAGGAGACATGAAACCATCTTTCCTCTATAGATTACACATTATGTTGCCAGAAACAATTCATCTCTTCAGCTGGTTTTGTGCTGCTTAGAAAGTGCTGGCCTGGTAGACCACAGGAAAAACAACTAAGAACCACTTGACCTGAAGCTAAGCTTGGCTCAGCTGCGCTATTATGCACTTGGATGAGTGGAAGAATACTTTTGTCTATATTAAAATACCTGGTTTGTCAAATGTACAGTCACCATGTAAGTAAAAGCAACGCCCCAGTTTTCCATGTTCGTCCCACTCAACTAAGATGCCACTTGGCATTGTTTCTTGATATTAATAAACATAAAGGAAGCATAGGGCTCCTAGGAGGTAGGAAAGATGGTAGGGAAAAATAGCGTTCTTATTCTTGTGCTTGAATATCAGACTAGGCACTGCCTGGGAGCAGAAGAGAAAAAAATAGCTCTGTTAAAAATAAACGGGAATTTTGCATCTACTCAGAATATAGAGGGTCAAAGAGAATGTTTCCCCCACCCCAGCAACAACAACCAAAACAACAAAGCTGGATTAACAAAGGAAAAAAAATACTGTTTTGAGCCCATCAGAAAGCTACATTTGCAAAGCAGTCAGGGAATTAATTTCAAAAGATAACAAGTCCCTTGGAAGACAAGTGGGATACACAAACATATCTTTGAAAGAACACAGAAGGAAGAAAGAGCAATTGTAAAAGAAGGTAGAAACACTTGAAAGTTTAATGAATTTTTAAAGGCCAGGTGAGGGCTAGCTTAACAATTTAGAAACCCTGTTAACCTGAGAAACATTAAAGTCTATGATCACTTACCAGATCTTTGCTTCAAAGAAGACAGCATTTGGTGGTAATATACTGCCACTGAGAAAGAAGGAGGCACCTGTAGTTCCAGCTACTTGGAAGGCTGAGACGGAAGGATCGCCGGAGCCCAGCAGG